TCTCCCTTCCTCTCTCTGAAATCAATAAAGATATATATATTTAAAATATTAAGTAAATAAATAATAAATAAATAAATCTTGCCCTGGCCGGGTTGCTCAGTTGGTTGGAGCTTGTCCAAGACTGTGGGTTCGATCCGGGTCCAGGCACATAAGGAATCAGCCAGTGCGTGCCTGGGTAGGCGGAACAGCAAACTGATGTTTCTCTCTCTCTCTCCAACATCAATAAATAAAAATTTTTTAAAAAGAAAGAAATCTCAGCTAATTCACTCATAACCCTAACTGCTGAACACAGCAGCTATTTTTATTCCTTAATTCTCTCCCATTTCTGGAAATGTGTCCTGTAGAAATTATTAAGAATGTGTCTAAAGATTTATATTCAATATGTTCATCATGGTTCTATTTTTATAATTTGAAAATTCTAGAAATAATCTGAAATCCAAATGATAAAGTGTTAAAAAAACAAAACAACAAAATTCAACTGAGTAAATTTTTTTGAAAACTCCTACTGGCTTTGCTCAGCTCTCCCTGCATCAGGCAGCGCCCCACTTAGCGGAGAGAGAGGGGCTCTGAGGGGCTCTACAGAACGGAGGACTTACGGCAGGAGGGGGCTGGACAGAGAAGCTACGAGTGGATGGGTTGTGGCAAGGTCACCTTCCTCTAGGGGACGGCCGTCGGGGGTCTGTCAGGCAGGTTACCTCGCTGGCGCTGACCAGGTAATTCCTGACGGACTGGTTTAGGAGAGGCCACAGCTGTGGTTGCCTTAGGTACTGAGTCTTGGTTTGGTGACCAGGGCTTAGCCTAAAGTGACTGTCTTCTCCTTTTTAACAGAGAAACCACAAATGGAAGAAAAACACTGACTGTGTGTTTTCCTTCCCCTGGCCCATTCGGGGTAGTAGGGCCCTTAGGATGCTTTGATGGCCACCTGTCGCTTTATTGTGTGGGACCGTGATTAATCTGACCCCGGCCACCCTTCCCTTAAATAGTTAGTCCACCGAACGTCAAACAATAACCAATCAGCAGAGAGCACATTGAGTAATTGGTGGGTTTGTTCTTTCACCAAAAACATTTATAGCTTTTAAAAATAGTTCTGGAGCCCAGCAAGACGGAGCAGGGGAAGCTGGCCTAGATAACAGGGTGGCAGATGAGCAGGCTGATTCCACCTCGGGCACGTTGCCCAGGACACTTTTAATAGAACGTATTATAGTTACTCCAGGGATTCTGAGTCTGCGGTTATGTCAGGCTTACACATTTATTCTTTAAAAGGAAAAAGTGCACCTTATTAGGCTCTAGGTGCACTGGTGTGACTTAGACTTTTAAAGCCAGTATTGCAAGGCAGCCATGGGTGATATGCTGTGTGGGGGCCGGATTCCTTAATGTTAAAACCAGCTTAATCCTGGGCAGAAAAATATTTTGAACTTCCTTCCTCTAAAACACAGCGTGTTCTTTATTTCTTCCAAAGTTTAAGTCAACTTTAAAATGATGTCTAAACTAGGAATTAGAAGTTATTTTTATGTGGAGAATTTTTAATCTTACTATTTTTAAGGGCATTCTTTGGATGCTCAGGAAGAATCAACTCTTAAGGGAAAAAAAGTACCTACATTTTAGAAATGTTATACTTCCTCTTTTACTACCTTACAAATTTAGAATTACTGACCTTAGACTTAGCTGTAAAATTTTAAAAGGGAAAATACCAGCAGTAATAGAGCTTTTACATAAGGATTTACAATATTCAGATGGATCCAGAAACCTAAAACATACACAAAGTATAGTCTTTTAAAGTTTTGTAACAGAACTAAGTTATTATTATATACTTGGGACACGTGTTAGTAGAAAATACAATGTTTCTGATACGCTGAGATTATAATGCGCTAGTAACGACTTTTCTGCTCATTAAGCTACGTATTCTGCTCTTTTACAGTTCAAGCGATACGTCAGTAAACTGCGGAGCAAGAGCACGGTTTTCAAAAAGAAGCATCAGATAATAGCCGAGTTTAAAGCCGAGTTCGGGCTCCTGCAGAGGACGGAGGAGCTCCTCAGGCAGCGCCACGAGAACATCCAGCGCCAGCTGGTAACCGCGCTCCCCGGGAGCGCTGGGCGTGCAAGGCCCGGGGGCGCGTGGGTTACGGCTCTGTGGTTTTCCCTGGAAAAGCCGTACACCTGTAGTTTCCTCTGATTATTACAGAGCTGCCCTGTACGCTGGTTGGCTCACTTCCCACGTAGCAGGAAGCACTCCGATGCTTGCTGGTTGGGAGTAGTTAGTAGCTTACGATGTCCTGCAGGATAATGACTCTCTTTGCCTGTTGTCCACTGGCATGAGGAGCCCAAGTGACAGCACCGTGGCCGGAGCAGAAGGCTGGAGGCCTCTGGAGGTGCCGCTCTGGAAACAGAGAAGGGGGCGCAGCTCCCCAAGTGCATGGGCGGAAGCCTGGCGAGGGCCGTGCTCTCGCTCCCC